TTTTCACTCTGTCATTTTCATTTCATTCCCTTGTTTCCTCTTGTTATAGTTTCCTACATCGCTTTAGAAAAGAGTTAACATGTAACTATAGTGGTTTTCAGCTCCGTTTGCCTCTCTGCCAGGGAAGACTAATTTCCGTTGTCCAAACCGGCTGAGCACTTGAGGGATTATCTCGCAGCCACTCCCTGCGCGTGCTCCTGCGGGTGGGGTAGGGGGCGCTTCAGTTGCCTTTTACACCTCGCCTTATGCGGAAATCCTGCCTATTGTGCACACGTCACTTACAAGGTCTCTCTCTTTTCTTTTTTCTGTTGCTTATTATCCACGAGTTTTGCCTCCTCCCTCCCTCCCCCCTAGTAATCGTACCCTTCTACCACAGAACACACTTTCCCTCACTTTGAAGTCAGAGTAATTTGCTTTAGGGTCGCCTTCCAACACCGTTCAGATGTTCTCGCCTTCAGGGTTCAAGGGAGCTGTGGTAGCCTTTTTTCTCTCTCCAGTGCCAGATACCAAAAGATGCAAACCTGTGTGTGTCCACCTATGACCTTAGAAGAAAAAAATCGCGTTTGGGGCCACCGTCTGGGGAACCCTGTCCAGTCCCAGCCTTGCGCCTTCTCGCCTCCCCTTTGTGGAGGTTCACTCCCGTGCAGGACGCAAACGCTAGCGGCTCCCTCTGGCTTCCCGACTTCCTTCTGGGCGCCTAATAAAAGCAGGGGAAGTTCAGTCATTCCGCAGGAGCTGCTCGGGCTCACTGGGCATGCTCAGTCGGGCCGCGCTCGGCTCGTAGAGGTTGCCTTGGGCGCTGGGCTCGGGTCGGCGGCCGCCGGGGCTCGGCTTCCCGGAGCCGAGGCTGGACTGAGGGGGGCCCGAGTGGCACCTGAGCGGCTCCTGAGTGCCAGCGACACGCGCCCCGCAGTCCCCGGCCGGGCGTCCGCCCCTGGCCCCAGGGAGCCCCCAACTTCGCGCCAAGTTCGGGGCCGCGTTCTGCGGAGACATGCAAATGATGACCAGGAACGTTTTGCTAGAAATGGAGCAGGAGGAGGACGACGACGACGACGGGGATATTGGTGAGTGAGGGGGGGGTCCCAGCGTCGACACCCAAAAACCCGGGCGGCTGCGGGAAGAAGTTCCGGGGCTGCGCGTGGCCGCCGCACCCGGTGAAAAGGTTGGCCAGGATTCTCGGCCGCTCGGGGAAGGGAAGAAGGAAACCTGTCCACCGGGCTCAGTCCCAGGAGGGCGCGGGCCACCGGAGAGCAGTGTCTAGACAGGCCGGGGACCCAGCGCCTGGAGAGACACGGCAGATACCGGGACGCCTCTGCGCGCGGAAGTCTCGACCCAGAAGCAACTTTTGGGTCATTTCCTCCGCCTCCAACAAGGCTTGGATTGCGGAAAGCCGGGCGCAGGGGCGAGCCCAGAGCGGGCCGGGTTTGAAGACCCGAGTGTGACCCAATAGAATCTTCTTTAAAATAGTGAAGGCGAGCGGACGCTCCGGGCGGGAAGGTGGGGGCCCGCCTGGGCGGCCCCGGGAATTGATTTGTGGCCGCCGGGCGTCAGCTGGGATCTTTTTTCTATCTTCAGGGCCGGAGAGGGTGGAGGTGGTTACCAGGGGATGATCTGAGAAGGACTCCTTCAGCCAGGGTGTCTGCAGGGTGCGGGCTACTCGTCCTGAGGGGCCTTGAGGAGCAAGCCCGGGGTGCCCCGTTTCCAGTTCCAGTTAAAAACGCATAGAAATGATGGACAGACGGAGGGAGAGCTGTTAAAAGTAGAAAAGCAACCAAACGGGGTGGGAGGAGTAAGGAGACTATCAGGTCCCTAAAAGGAACACAGTCAGGGAGTGATGACATCTTGGGTCTCTCCAGAAGGCTGTAATAAAATTACCATGCCGGTCTGTTCTGGCGACTCTGGCTCAATTTCCTGACTGCCAAATCAGTTTTAAAGCCAAACCGTTCCTGCTCATGTCCTAAAGCCCTGCTCTGTTCTCTAATAACTTGAAAAGTAACTTAATTTTAAGAGTTGGGTGTGGTTTTTCTCTTTCACATTTGGGGCACCTAGTCATTTAAATCAGAAGCATTGGGTAACTTCCTGGTTTGTGCAGAGTCTACTGAGTAGATGGGATTACCCTGTATGGTGTAGCTTTATCCTTTATGCATCAGAGAACAATTCTTAGGTATTGCTCTTATAGAGGCAGCAAAATGAAGCTCACAGGTGGATCTGCCTAGCTCCTTACTACTTCCAAACCCAGGTTGTTTGATTTGAAAGATCTGTGTGGGTTAATGCTCTTTCCAGCCTGGCACTCTGGCGCTCAGATAATCTATGTGATACTACTATTAGCAAAATTTAGTAGTAGTGAAGATTCTATAAGAGTACAGATCACCGAAGCAAAGTTCAGGAAGTTACAACACAATTAACAGTTTCCTAGGAAAATATCCTAGTGTGCTACGGTGATGTGTTACTGTTGACGTTGGGTATTCTAAATCATCGAGGGTATTGTAAATCATCGAGGGTAAAGGCCAACTGGAAATTGGAGTAAGCAAGAGGCTCTGAGCTTTGGTTATTACTGTGTCATCAGTAGATCTCAATTTAGAAAGAGCTAATTTGGCATAGCCTGTGTTTACCTGGTGAAGCATCATAAAAGTCATCTTAAACGCAGGGCAATAAGTTCTTTTTGATTATAGGTGCACTTCATGCTGGTTCTATCAAGTCAAACAGTTTAGACAGATTAAAGACAAAGGTAAACATCTCCACCCCCTCTCCTCTCACCCTCCAGAACCTACTAACATTAATACTTTAGTCTGTGTAGGGGTCAGCTCAACATGTATTGTGTCAAGCAACACGTATCACTGAGACCGATCTCCATACATTTTGGTTGTTCTTTCTGGAAATACAATGTAACGTGAGCTGTAGTGATTTTATATCAGAAAATGTTTTACCATGCCCATGGATAGTTTATGACATTGTAAAACAAGTTAAGACTGTTTTTCTTTTCTTTCTTTCCTATTTTAAGGCAGAGTCTTGCTGTGTTGTGATCCTCCTGGTTTGCTTCCCAGTTAGCTGTAACTTCAGGTGTGGGTCAGTTGTGCCTGGCTTTTAGGGAGGTCAGTAATTGGACTCAGGCCTCCCATGTGGCCACAGCCTGTTGAGTAGCAGATGACCAGAGCTGAGCCTAACAAGCCTTTTGAAAGGATATCAGAAGTAGGCAGTAGTGGTCATAGCCTTTCACAAAAGAATTATAATTTCCAACAATGGGAGAGGGCACTCTGATAAGATGAAGATTGTAATTTTAACCTCTGCATCTAGTTTTGTAACACAAGGTTGTGCTAAAGCTATTGACTAATGTATTTCTCCTAGTGCTTGTTACTACCAATAGTTGTATAATAGTTCATAACCCACTCAGGTGCTGAAGATTGCTGTAAAATCTCCCTATAAATACTAACCTTATACTTCAGAGCCGGAGAGCTATTTTGACACGAGTTACTGAATATAACATCCAACATTATTGTGGGCTAATTTGCAAGAAAGAAAAAAACTTTTGTAACTGGATGTAGTCCCTGCTTACATCATAGAGCTGTTTTACGTACAAATATGGAAGTGTGCCTGCTAGTAGCCTGGGATTCAGGGCCTAGTCTGCAGGGGTTTCCTGCTTGCTTTCGAAGCAGTGCTTCATTACTGTGTAAGGGTTACCTCCCTATTTGGAATCACCATCTGGAGAATCACGGATTGTGAAATTCAGCATGGATATCCCTTCTTTCTTTGCTTAACTCATCGCCACCAGAAATTATGCCCAAAGATTTGCTAATGAGGCAACCTGTTGGGACGCAAGCATTTTTGCACAAGGTTAGTTAATTTCTAAATCGGCTCCATCACAACCACAGAAGTTACATCCACACAGAAGAGGCAGGAAATTCGTGGCTCGTAGACCTTGTTACAGTGGTGGAGGTCACATGTCTTGCAAGCCTCTGGGAGGTAGATTGTGCTACCCTACCTGGTATGCAGAAGAATGTCTTTGGTTGCTTTATCTTCAACCCCCATTACACTCCAGTTAATCAGTGAATTGAATTCAGCATCTTTTCCCATTGGTGTCAGAAGTAATGGGACTATCTTTTATGACTGGAATGTAGAAATTAGATTTAGTATGCTGTTTTGTTATATTTTTTAAAATTCTTTCCTTTAAGGTCCAAACTTTGTGGGAGGAGGAAAAGTGATTCCAAAAAAAGAAAGGATCTATCAGGAACTGTTCAAATCACTCAGACAAAAAAGATTTTATTCCAGTGGTTGGTTGGTTGCTTTGTATTCCCGGTCTGTTTAGTTGGTAGGAGGTGGAATGCTCTGGGCTCCCAGTATGTTTATGGTGGAGCCTACTCTCTGAGCCCCACCACCGATGGTCCTGTCACTGGAGGGTGGGCAGAGGCCATATCTGAGAGATAACAGTCCAGCTGGCTTCCTTCGCACTGTCCCACTTTTAGGTAGACTTATCTTCCCATACCTCTTCTGTTCTTCCCCTGTAGGTTGAGCAACCCTAATCTGAAATGCTCCAAAATACAAAACTTTGAGAACCAGCATGATCTGAAATACTCCAAAATACAAAACTTTGAGAACCAGCATGATGCCCTAAGTGGAAAATCTCATAGCTGACCTCATGTGATGGGTCATAGTCAAAATGGTATAAGCCAGAAATACTACATAAAGTTACCTTTAGGTTATACTGTATGTATAAGCTGTATATAAGGCATAAAAGAATTTTGTGTTTAGATTTGGGTCTCATCTGCAAGATATTTTATATATGCAAATATTCTAAACATTGAAAAATTCAAAACACATCTGGTCCCAAGCATTTTGGGACGTATACCTACTTCATGGTTTTTGTTTTGTTGTTTTTTGACAGGGTCGCTGTTTCTTTTTTCCTTTGGAGAAGATTTTGCTATAGGGCATGTGCGCTCGCCAGAAAGACAGAGAAACAGAGACAGAAAGCAAGAAATCACCCCTTCTCCTCCATTCTCCTCTGGGAATCTTGGGTACGCACACGGCATGAGTCTAAGACACCGGGTCCGAGACTCAAACCACAGTCGACTACATGGGAGTCCAGCAACATAGCCATTATGCTAACTGCTGGTCCCCGGGGGGGGGCGGTGTCTCACTGTTTCAATCCTACTGCTTTAGCCTCCCTGCTGGGACCATAGGCACATCACCACGTGTGACTGTTTTTAGACGAGGTGTCCCAGGTTAGCCTCTGATATATGATCCTCTTGCCTCAGTCACTCAGAGTTGCTGGGATTATAGGCTCACAACACTGTGCTTGGCCTTTAGGGTAGACCAGAAATCGAACCCAGGCCTCTCATATGGTCCCGGCAGGCTGAGCACACACAGCATTTCAGCAGAATGTGCTATGTTGCTGGTCTTACTTCATATTTTATCGCTTGCAAATCTAGCCCTAGCCCCAGTTTTGCACCATCAACATCGATTGATCAATCCTTCCATGCTGGATGTAGGATTAGGTGCTAGATTAGGTGTTGAGAGATCAGAAATGACTAAGACATGCCTCTGTCCTCGAGGAGGGGATTTCCATAGATCCAGACATTTGTAGTAAGTGCCGTTATTGAGGTACATACAAAACCACAGGGGGAGGATGGGAGAGAGCTTTGCCTAACTTATTTTTGGGTCAGTGTCATTCTATGCGGGAGAGTCCGGAGCTCCCAGTAGTTGTCTGTGGTGCAAGAGAGCAGGCACCAGGCCAGGAAGGTAGAAGGAGGCTACACTGTGAAAAATTCTGCACAGATCTTAAAAATTTGGGGTTTTATTCTGTACATGATTTGGAACTCCTGAAAGATTTTAAGGAAAGGACTGATAAGATCAGATTTGCTTTTGGAAAGATTCTCATGGCAACATATTGGAAAGTGGATTGGAGAAGGCAAGTGGTGCAGTAAGCCTTTCCTTGGGTGCAGAAATGGGTGCAGGGGCCATGGGAATTGAGAGGATTGAGCCTGAGAGCATTATGAAAGAGGCTGCACTTACTATGCATGAGGTCTGGGAAACGGATTCTCTCCAGCAAGCAGAGAGGAGTCCAGATGAT